TAAATTGTCTTCCCTCATTGGAGTGTAATCTCCTTGGTGGCAGGGACTGTCTTTTGTTCTGTATGTATTTGTATTCCTAGCACTTAGCACTGTGCCGGGAACATAGTAAGTGCTTAATAAATGCTTTTTGACTTACTTGTTGATTTAGCGAGGGACTGCTTTCAAATATAAATGATGCTGTGGTAGTGGTTGGATATTTGCATTTATATTTCTGAAATATTTGGGTGTAAGAATTTTTTCCATTTTTTTCTCTTCTTTCCATATCTTTTAGAAATTCTGGCAGTTTTAAAAGTGCAAGAAATATGTTTATGCAATATTAGGATTACAAATTAAAAATCATAAAATGTGAAAGTTCCAGTTGCCATAAGATCATAAAGTTTTATTTTCATGGGATACATATCTCATGATTAAAAAATCACCTTCTGTGAGAACTCAGCTTCTAGATTTTTATGACATTTGAAGTCTGAAAATCAAAGGTACAGAAACTATATAAAAGCTAATATAAACTACTGTTAGTCTAAAAAAAAAAGTCAAGAAATGCAAAAGGTTAGATTCTCATGCTATCTGCTCACCCACATTACACTTCCTCTAAATTGAGACTTGCATACTCAAATTAAATATGTAGTCACAAATGCCATATGTAACATGTGAAACTGAATTTACATTGTGAGATATTAAGCCTCTTTGCTTGGAAATTTTGGCGGGGGGGATTCAATAGACATATACATCATGTAACATCATATTTTAATTGCATGTGCACTTAAGCCTTTTTATGTTTTCCTCACATATTCCCCTCATTTACAACTTTATCTCACTGTGAACTAGCCATATGTGAAATTCACTATTTTAAACTCAGGTTATTTTTGTGGTGTTAGTGCACAAGAAAATGGTTTTAAAGTGGAAAATATATATATTTTTTACCAGATTGTATAAATTTTAAAATCTAAGTGATTTTTCTAAATTGTAAAAAAGTTCACATCTCTTCATGTCAGTTAGAAACTACCCATTCTTATGTGCAAGTGAAAAATTGAACTAAGATGCTAAAGAGTAATACCTTAATGAGACCTAGCCACTTTCAGTGTGTTGAAACTTTCAAATTATTGGGTGTGATTTATGTGTAGTATAAATGAATGGATGGGTTTCACAAAGATTTCCATTTCTTTTGCTGTAAAAATAAGGCATTTCTCTCATGTGACAGCATTTCCCATCCCATTCACAGGTGTATATTTAGCCTGCTGTAACATTTAATCTTACTAATACCAATTGTAAATTTAAATTAGCAATAAAATACACGCTATAGCAAAATACATGTAATATACACATTCAATCCATTAAACAGATTAAATACATGTGACAAAATGCATGTATTTTATCAAGATACATCTACCTTAAGTAGATGGTGATTTCGGTTTCCTTTTGAAATATTCTCCTACCTTTAGAAGAGAACTGTATTTCAGCATTTGTTTTCTCAAAACAAAAAGTTTAGATGAACTTTTTAGTGGCTTCCATTCCACATCCTAAAAGTTGGAAGCGTTCCATTAGTTCATATGAAGGTATGTAATTAATCTTTATAAGGGAAGATGACATTACCAATTGTGATTGAGGCAATGTATGAATATGTGAGTGAAGAGAAAATTTGGTCCCCTCTGTAGCACGGGAAATCTGGCTCCCTTTGGATTTTCAGCTGCACCTCTAACTTGCCGCTTTGATGCTGACAAATGCTGTTAAGAATTTAGAAAGATCTTTTCCAGCTCTGGTATCTGCATCCATAGCTGACATCCTTGCTACTGTGGTTTCCCACCAGCCCAATACAGTGTTGCAGCATCTTTCAAAGTTGTGTTTCAGTGTCACTTTTGAAACTCTTCTGCCCTTCATGCTTATGATTCCCCTGCTGCAGCTCACCAAACAATAGCTCCTTCGGGATCCTGCTGTTACCTATCATCCCTGTTGGCTCTGCCCAGTTATTCCTATTTCCAAAAAACAACCACAAGAAACCACATTTCTTCTCTACTGGTAGACTGGCTGTATTCCAGGACTTCATGGTTGGTGATCTTGTCTTTCTAGTATGATATAAACAGTCCTGGTGAAACTGCACAAGAAGCTGAGTAAGATGGCCATAGTAAACCATCTTCTAGAAACCATGTTAAAAATTGGGCACTATCAGCTTTACAAAGTTTCATACTATGGCTGCTGCCAGCCATGTCAGTCCATTTATGTAGAGGAGGAATTATTCTGGCAAGACCCCAGACCCCACAAACACCTTGAGTTCGTTCATCATTTTCAATGTACTTTCCAATCATTTTCATTTAGTATACCTCAACCCTATTCAATTGTTACTTGCTGAAGCAGGCTAACATTCGGGTACCTAGCAAGCCAGAGGCAGAACCAGAACTGGACCTTCAAGTGAGAAAGGTCAAGGCCCAGTCTGGTATAGCCTCAAGTAAATTTCATTTGGGGGCAATTCATGATGTTTCCTTAAAAGGTAGCCATTTAGTCACTCATCTCTAATTATATAAGGTTCTGTCGGTAGTAGGTTGGAGAAGTGTTTGTCCCTTTTCCCCAAATGAAGAATAACATCATTAACTTAATATTTTCCACAGAGAGACCTGCCCCAGGTGTGATGCAAAAATGTTATTTTTGTTGCCTCATCTTGAGCAAGCTGTCCCTCCATTTATCCCATGACCTCACAACAGCCTCTTGGGGCCAACTGCCCGCAAAGCTACATGATTTTGTAATTGGATCTTAGCAGGAATGGCAGTAGTGTTTCCCTGCCCTTAGCAGGCAGTGCAGAAGGCAACCGGATGCTTCAGCATGCCTGACCACTAGTCTGACCTGCAGTGATCCGATTCCACCTTCTCAGCATTTCCTCACACCCACTGCCTGCACAGTAATGGGAAGGCCTGTAGTCAGACTACTTGAGTTTTATTGCCCTTAATGGAGACAGAGTGAGAGATATTAGAGCTGTTGGCCTCATGAGTCTCTACCTTAGAAGGTCAGAAAATAAGAAAGCCTTTATTTCTTCCCAATTTTGCTCCTGGCCAGGTGTATGGAGAGGGGGAGGATTGTCACACAATCAATAATCATTGAGAGATGGTGTCAAATCACTAACGAGAAGAGAAATGCAAATTAAAACAACTCTGAGGTTTTGCCTCATACCCCTTAAAGTGACAAGGATGATGAAAGATGGAAATAATGTTTTATGGGCTGCCTAGGAAGGCAAGCACACTAATATACTGCTGGTGGAGTAAAGAACTAGTCCAACTATTCTGAAAAGTAATTTGGCATTCTGTGACAGAAGTTACTAAACTTTTCATGCCCTTTGACCTAGTAATGATCCCACTACTGGACATATACTCCATAAAGGTCAAAGCCAGACCTGATGTATCAGAACACCCATAGTAGCACTTTTTAATGGTGGGAAAAAAATTGCAAACAACAAGCTGATTTCTCATCAGTTTTGGTATATGAATATGATAAAATATTGTGGTATCCTAAGAAATAATTCTATGAAGAATATATAGGAATATAAGAAGACTTGTATGAACAGATGCAAAAGAAGTAAGCAGAATCAGGAAAGCATTTGCACATGATGACTACAATAATATAAATAAAAATAACACTAAAAAGCAGTTAAAGTATGATGAACTGTAATGAACATTCTGCATCTCAGACAACAGATACTGAAACATGCCTCCCCACTTGAGTAAAGAAATAGGGGACTGCAAGGTATGCACTGTTAGATATAATCACAGTATCAACTGGTTTTTCTTAACTGTCTTTCTTTGTTAAAAGGGAGGGTTCATTGGTTTATAGTGAAGTGACTGTGACATAAAAGTATAGAACATTAATAAAACTTTTAAAAAATTAAAGAGCATAAAAAGGATTGAATATTTCCCCCTTTCTTTTGTTTTGCAATCACCATTTTTCCTGTTTAAATGTTATTTTAAAATCTACTAGCTGCGCAGTTTAGCTATTTCTGTGTTACTCCGAGAAGCTTAGCCAAAAAAAAGTCTCAGCATTTTCATAATTTTTTTTCAGCAAAAGCCATTACAGATCATTTTTATCCAAGCACATAGTCCTCTACATTATACATTACCCTTTCAGACAGCCATTTATAGGGTTGTGATGTGTCAACCACATTACAAGATAACACTGTTCTTCTGAGGTTATAGAAGAAAAGCTGACAGTTCTGCCATAACCTAACATAGGAAAAATCAGACCTCATAGTCTTGAAATTAATACACCTTATCAGCTTATATTAATTTAACTAGGTTTCCCCCCCAAAAAATGCTAATGAAACAAAAAAAATTTACATTTTGCCAAAAAGAAAAAAATCGTAGAATCTTTTAGTCGAAAGGGACCTTAGAGGTAATGTTTCCTAATTCCACATACCATGAGGAGCCCTCTTTATACTTTTCCTGACATGGATCCAGCCTGTGCTCATTGGATATATAAAGCACTGTAGGGAGTGGGACTATAATTTCGTTGGAACAGGAAACTCCCAGGTGAGGAAGCTCCCTCTACCAATGTAAATCAGCATCTTCTCTGCAACATATAGAGAGTTGCCTAGGATATTAAGAGGTCAAGTACCTTGACCAGAGTCACACATCAGGTAGGTATCAGAAGAGGAGGATATTCATGTACTTAAGGCAATCTCTCTATCCAGTATGCTACACTGCCACTCATATCGGCATTACATTTTTCTTTATCCTCAAATGGTGAGATTATATTTAGGGTCTAAAGTTCAAGCTAAAAATCCATCTATAAAAGCAAGGCAGCTAGGTGGCACAGTGGCTAGAGTGCTGGGGCATGGAGTCAGAAAGACTCATCTTCCTGAGTTCAAATCTGGCCTCAGACACTTCCTAGGTATGTGCCCCTGGGCAAGTCACTTCACCCTTTTTGCCTCAGTTTCTCCATCTGTAAAATGAGCTGGAGAAGGAAATGGCAAACCACTCCAGTATGCCAAGAAAACCCCAAATGGGGTCACCAAGAGTCAGACATGATTGACATTACTGAACAACAAAAATAAAAGCATAGCAATGATTTTTTTCTTTCAAGTTCTGACATTCACAGCCAAATGTCTAGTGGAACATCAAGAAAGCTTGGAAAATAGCATAAATCCATTGTGATGTTCATGTTCTTTAAAAATCTGTAATGTGTGTTTTGTAAACAGAGCTTCTAAAAGTTAGTACTCTACTAATTAAATAAAAAGAAAAATGTACTACATGAGAATAGAAAAGATTTGAAAATGCCTTCAGGGGAACAGGTGCTAGAATAACATCACTGTATATCACCATTTTTTTCCCATGGTACTTGTATTTGGTCATAATGGAAAGAAATTGATTCCAAATGTGTTTTCTTGACCCCTACTCCATACATGTTAGTGCCTAACCTTAAATGATGTTTCTACAATCTCAGCGTATTTACAGTAATTATATGCATAATGTAGCATATTATTGTCCGGACTTCCTGTTTAATCAGTACAGAACTTCTTACAAGTGCAGCTGAAAAGGGCAAACAAAATTAAAGCTTTATATACCAAAACAAGTTTGATTTGCTAAGCTCCCAGCATTCCAAAGTACACAAATTTGTTCCACTAAGTTTTCCGATGGCTTGCAGATGGGCAATGATTAATCAGAGAGCTAACTGTGAAGTAGTTTGCAATTAAACTGGAAAGCTCTGAAGCATGCTAATTGAATCAGAAAATTAGAGACACTGAACAGTAATTGGCTATTTCTCATGCAGCAGGTGCCAGGCCACTCATCTGTGGAACAAGGTATTTAAGGCACATTAGCACTAGTAAAAATACTTCTTGATATGGAACAGTTAGATTTTCTGCTCATTTTCACCATGGATGTCAAAACATACAGCTGTGATGTCTAGTGCTTACAATTCATGTTTTAAGAATCTAAGTAAGGTAAACATATGGGAGAGTAGCATGCTATGCAACAGGAAATGGTTTAAGAGTGAAAGTGAAATTGAACAACGTGAGGGTTCCTTTTATTTTTAAGCATAACTTTTCCTTTCTTTTTGTATAGATTTAAAAGTTGTTGGGTTTTCTGTTCAATGTTAGGTTAAGGAAGCAACAGTATAAATCTAGCACTGCTGTGAGCTTAGTAGATACATAAAGCCAATTCATATCATGTCTCAGCATGAGTTTATATCTTCTAATTAGTACCACCATTTTATAGAGTGAGCACATGCTATGAAAGTTTGTTTGCCATGCCAACAGGGACCAGAGCATGTCGCTTTTTCCTTAGTAAAGTAATAGTGCTGGATTATCATGAAAGACTAACCTAACCAGTAGGTAATCAGGAAGAAATGGGATTTAATAAGTGCAGTTGTGGAAAGTTGTTATAATAATAATCATTTTCGTATTATCATGGGTGGGGCACATGACTTCTGTTTCCCATTACGTACTTAAATTAGAGTTCAGCATTGTTATTAGAAAGTGAAAATTACAAACGAACATGGAAATGTCCTAAATTATGCTTCTCTGTTTGTGTTGGAAAGCAGAATTTTACAATATTCACATGCTAATCATATCACTTAGCAGTTGACTGCAGAAAATAGCATATTTGAACCAAGAGACATAAATTATGAATTGTAAATAGTGTGTGGGGGATATGTTCTAACTATGTCTCGTTTGAATTAAGACAGGGAGCTTTCTCTGCTGCAGATTATGTACCTTCATTAAGTTTTAAAGTCTCCCTTATAATGTTTTATTAAGAACAACTTGGTGAGGAGTAATCAAAATGAGATTCGGTAGCACCTATTTTAAAAGGATTTCCACATCTGAGTGTGCTTCCACTTTCTATCTTGAAGCTCTATGTGGACATTTTTTTTTTAACGAGTTAAAGCAAGAGCCCCTTATGGCACCTCTGTTCCCCCAGTACAGGCCATGTGCTTTTTGCATTTATTTAGTTTGAAAGCAGCTCAAAAATATTTACATGATCAATGATTTTTGCTTGAGGGATAAAGTTTGCTCTTCCATGGACAAGTGAGAACGTATTGATCATTTTATTCTATTTGCTATTTCTAAATTCAATATACCTCTTGAGTCGATAAGCGAGATCGAGAGCATATTCTTTTTTTGTGTGTGCCTGCTTGTAGCTTGTTCTCAAGATCCAAGATACATTTTTGATTAATCACGAATGCTCTGGGGTCATGGAGAGCAAATGTGTTTGTGGAGTGTCAGCTGATGCTGTCAGATAAATGTCTTAAGCTTAGCCAGGGTTCATGCCCCAGCTTTAGGCTGTGCCAAATGTCTCCCCTTGTTGAGGAAGATAACAGCTACACTGGAGGCGACTGAGCTGTTTGTTCACTGAAAGGGCTGACCTTGCCATATGGGGCTACAATCAGGTGAAAGAAACAGTGTAGATGTTTTAATTAAAAGTTAACAAATTTCAACTTTTTATTTGATTCAGATTATCTTGGTGTTCACTGGGATACATTCTCCTTTTTTTCCTTAATTGCAATTATGCCTACATCTCTTCAGCATTTCTGATGAGGTTCCTTAGGATGAATAATGTGTTTCATATTGTTTTCAGTATATGCCCAAAATATTTTGGCACAATTGAATACATTATTAGGATACCACAAAATACTTGAAAGTGTTTATCAGGACAAAAGGGGCACATTTCCTCTGTGAGCATATGTTTGAAATTTTTTTCTCACTCTCTTAAAAACCATGCAAAGCCAACTGGACTCCAAATCTGAGACAGCAACAAGGACATTCAGAAATTTCATTTTAAAGCCATTTACAATATTGGTCTGGGCAAAGAGAGGTCACTTGTAGTAATGACCCTTAGCCATGTAGCCTCTTGGCTTCAGAGGGCTTGTTTAATCACATTTACCCTACTTAGAGTAATTTGTCTTCTTTTACTAGACAGGGTGTATAAACAGAAAGTAGTGACAATTGCTCCACACACCTGGAGAATGCTTTGGAACACCGTGGTCTGTATTTTGTAGTGCTAAAGGCAATAGGAAGAATCAGATGGTGGTGCATAAATAAAGGGAACTCTCAGAGGGCTACTTGTGGGTATTTGTTGTAAAACACCTAAAAACAGTGCCTTTCTTCTATCTTTGCTCAGCTTGTTTTGTTTTGTTTTGTTTCTCCAAAGAAGATGTTCTACTTTTCTTTCCTCTCAAGAAGTTCATACTGCCATGGGTAAATCATCGATGCTAATTAGACACAATAATCCTGCAAAAAAAAAATGAAGAAAGAAATAACACATCTGTCATAAACTCCCACCAGATCTCTTGGAAATGAGACATTTTTAATATTTTATGCCAAATACAAAATATCTTGAGGAAATAGTTTTATATTCTATATCTCAAAACAAAATCTTTAGTGTAAGTCGTGCTGCTTAAGTAGCTCATTTCAAATTGTATTATTTAAAATCTCCCCCACGCTTTTGTAATATAGGTTGTGTTGTAATAACAGTCTGGACTTGAAAAACAGAAACTGCATCTAAAACGGACAGGAATAAAATGAGAGGTACTTCTGAAATTATTTTTAAAGTCTACTATTCTAGTAATGGTGCTGTTATGTACAACTAATGACACTGTAATAAATGTTACACTACATTGTTTAGAAAAAACTTTGCTCCATGTATGATTTTGTCTGTGGGCAAACTACAGTTTTTGCAATCACTAAAATCTCTAGTTAAGAAAAAAATTAAATTTGGTCTTTAACTTTTTGCAAAAAGAAAAACAAAGATTTTCCATTTCTGGAGGCCTGAAGCATGAGATTCCTTCCATATTAATTGTACAGCAAGATGCAACCTCTGACTAAAGAAAAGACTTGGACCTTGTTCTGGAAGCTCTCAAAATATACTGGAGAAAATATTCAGTTGTTTGTGGACTGAGTTGATGGCATCTACTGTTTCTGACTCCATAAAGACAAAATCTACTATTTCTTAAGTTGGCAATAAACATCTCCTGGCAGAAGCTGGTGTCTTTGAGGACCTGGTTTGAGAAATTCACTAACACCCAGAAGTTAAGATTGTACATCACTGCCTGAGATTAACTAGCATCTTCTGTAAATCATAAGGTAGGGGTGAAACCGGGAGCAGAGCAGTCATTCTATTATGGGAACCATGTGTTAAAACCTGGCCTGGGTTGAGTCACAGAAGATACTGATCGGTATCAGGGACTACTAGGTGTGCTCCATAACAGATGTCCCTTTGGACAAAGTCTTCATGGGACTTCCAGAAGGTGGACCCCATGGCAATTGTCTTATTCCCCAGGTTGGCACTGGGGAATATATGCACCATGAAGATGCTCTGATTGAATTCATCTTATGGACTTGTGACCAAGTAGAAAGATCTTTATTTTTCTCTTTGTGGGAGCAGCTGGATTATAGAACCACCATTGTACTGGTTGCTATAAAAAACCCTATGATTTATATACACTGGATCTTTTGTTGATCATTCCAGAGGCACTGTGGCATAGTAGGTCAAATGCTAGTCTTGGAATTAGGAAGGCCAGGGTTTGAATCTAGGACTTAACACACCTGATACATAGTAGGTATTTAATAAATGTTTACTGATTGATTGATCCTGTGCAAGTCACTTAACCTCTCTTACTTCAGTTTTCTCATCTGTAAAATGGGCATTCACAATAGTATCTACCTCAAAGGATCAATTAAAATAATGTACTTAAAGTAAAAGTGGGGTGAAACTATTAGTTATCCTTGTAAACAAATGCGGGGGATTACTTGTTTAGCAAGAAAGTGAGACATTTTGAACCTTTCTTGTTTAATAATAGCGATTAAATTGAATACCATGTTAAAAGAAAAGAAAAACCCCTAATGCTCCATTATTAAATTATACATTATGTTCAAACTATTTTTACCTTCATAGTTATAACTAATGCCAAAATCATCTATGTAAATGATGTTAAGTGCATATACATAGAAACAGTGATTCTAAGATTCTGTATTCTTTTAACTTCAAAGTAAACAATATATTATGCCCTTTCTCATTTATATTTCTTAGTTAAGTTCATAATCATTATTATGGGAAAAATTGTCTAGGATCTTTAATCATTTTTTCTTATCAATTATGATACTGATATGTGCTAATATATCTGCTAGCCTTTTCTTTCCGTGGGGCTTTCACTAGCTTCAGTTCACACTGGTGTTTTTCTTCAGCTCCATAATTAAAAAAAAAATTAATGCCATACTTGTGCCTGATTGAGGAAGGGACTTGGAACTCTACTCCTCTAAATGAATGGAAAAGTTGCCTTATCATCTATTGAGCACATGGTGATTCATATGGCCAAAGCTCCAAGAAAGCAATCTTTGGGGATTTAGAGGGAGAAAAAAGTCACAAAATTTAGACCCACCTTGGCTGGGGAGTGGGCAAAGTAACTGGACTGACTTAGAGAAAGCAACTAAGTCATCAGCTCTTCAGAGTGACTAGCTCTTTAGTTAGTAGCTTGTCTTAATTGAAATTGGCTCAGTAGTACTTCTGACTAAAATAAATAAATGAGCTTCTCTAAGTAAATGGCACAGATATTTCTCTACTGTTAACCACTACCACCATCCTTTCCTAAGTGTGTCTTGCTTTTTTTGCTTCCCATTTGCTGTCTAGATGTAAATCACCACCTCTTCCAGCTATCAACAAATTTTATAAATTAAGAGGAAGTCATTACATAAAGGTAGTTCTTTCCAGTTCTCAGGATTTCTTACACATAAAACAAACTTGTTCAAGAAACTCAGGCTTTACCTCAGAAAATTTTGAAAGGAACAGCACCACACTGGACTCAAAAATTTCCTCTCTAAAACTGATTTTCATTTTAGTTTCTACTGATCTTTTTAAAAAAAGTTCTATTTGCATTTAACAATTAAAAGACTTTAAACATTATAAGCATCTACATGGGGTTAGAAATCCTTCTGTTCTTTATCAAACTGCAAAGGAGATTTTGACATGATAACCAGCTTTTATAGGTCAGAGATCTTTGATTTTTGTCAAACTGTGAACACATTTAGCTATTTAAAGCCAATACTCTTCATGATATCATATTTTCCCATTTCTTATAATTTTACTGACAACCAAGAGGACTATTTCTGATCCGTTACTCTTTCTTTTCTTCTGTTTTTCACCCCTTTGATTCCAGGTTTTTACTCTTTCTTCCCTTTTGAATATCCCCCAAACTTACCCCTTCAAAGGTAAAATTTGTTTTGCTTATGACTATTCCCTCACCTATCCTGCCCTTTCTCATATACTCCCCTTCCTCCATACTCTCTCCCTGTCTCATCTTATTTCCTTGTTAAATGTATTATATTTATATACTACAATTTGTGTGTATGTGTATGTGTGTGTATAACTGTGTTCAACCTTCCTTTGTCCATTTCAGATGAGAGTAAGATTCAGGTAAAGCCCATTCTGCCCCCCCCCTTTATGTTTAAATAGTTTTCATCTTATAGATAATGATTTCTTCTGTTCCCTCCTGCTTTCCACTCCAGTCCTCTATCCCTCCCATTTATATCTTCTCCTAAGTTCATTAAAACAGAACAAAATGACCCCCAGGCCATCTGTCTTACCTTTCTCTATGACTCTTGTAGAAATTAAGGTTCTGAGAAAACATTTGTTTTTATTCTTCCCATTAGCATTTTATCAGTTTATCACCATATCATCCCTCCCAGTTGAACAAATGTGTATACCTTTCTATGTTTCTCTCCATTTCTGTATTTCCATTTCAAAGTGTCTACTCAGTTCTAGCATTTGCAACAGATATGCTTAGAAATCTATTATTTAATTGAAGCTCCATTTTTTTTCTCCTATAGGATTATACTTAATTTTCCCAAATGGATGATTCTTGATTGCAAGCCTTTCTTTATCTTTTGCCTTTTAGAATATTATTTTCCTAGCTCTCCATTCTTGTAAAGAAGCAGTTGACAATTCTTCTATGGTCCTGACTCTGGCTCCTTGATACTTGAACTCTTTATTTTTGACTACTTGTAGTATTTTTTTCTTTGACCTAGAAGCCCCAGATTTTGGCTAATGTTCCTGAGAATTTTCATTTTGTGGTTCCTTTCATGAAGTGATCTGTGGGTGCTATTTTCTTAATTTTTCCTCTGGTTCTAAGATTTATGGGAAATTTTCATTTATAATTTATAAATTATAGTATCCAAGCTATTTTTTTTTTGGCCATGATTTTTAGGAAGTCCAGTGATTGTTAGGTTATCTCTCCTTGACATATTTTCTAGCTAATTTATTTTTGCCACTGTATTTCTTCTGATTTTTTTTCCATCTTGATTTTGCCATGGTATTTCTTGTTTTCTTACTGGAACTTCATGAAGTAGATGCCCACTGATTGGGGAATAGCTAAATGTGAAGGTTGGGCATAAGAAATTATGAATATGAATAATTCAGAAGAACATGGAAGACTTAAGTGAACTGATTTATAGTGAAATAAGCAGAACTAGGAAATCATATATACACACACACACACACACACACACACACACACACACACACACACACATATATGTATATGTGTATATATATGCCGATAGTCCTCACTTTACAAAAATTCACATTATGCAAATTTAACTCCGCAATGGGTGGCAGCGCTGGTGCAGCCCACCTTCTACCAGTAGTCCTCTGCTCTAGGCACTGAAGCTGCTCTGGCTAGGGTAGCAGGGGGTGTGGTGAACAAGCTGTGAAGCCTCTTTAGTCAGTCTGAGGAGCTATAGAGGAGGTTGGGCTACATGGAGCCCCTGGAGGGAAGAGGAACATCTACAGAATGGTCCATTTACATTAAGTGAGAATTGGCTGTACAATCAATCGATCAGTAAACATTTATTAAATGCCTGTTATGTGCCAGAAACTGTGCTAAGCACTGGGGATACAAAAAGAGGCAAATGAAAGTCATTGCCCTTAAGGAGCTTACAATGAGGTGGATAACATGCAAACATATATACAAAGCAAGCTGTATACAAGATAAATAGGAAATAAAAGAAGGGAGGCACTAGACTTGAGAGGGATTGGGAAAGACTTCTAAGAAAGTTGGGATTTTAGTTTAGACTTAGAGGAAGCCAAGGAAGTCATTAGGTGATGGAGAAAATTCCCAGATCAGGGAAATGGAGTGTTTTGTTCTTGGAACTAACCATCTAGGACCTGGCCAGTATTACTGTATCAAACAGTACCTGGCAAGGAATAAGGTGTAAGAAGATTGGAAAGATAGAAAGAG